CCTTAAAGCTTAAATTGTTGAGATTATAGGTAGACACTCTAATTGTTTAATCAAAATAACAAAGTGACCAATACTTTAATTCTGCACTTCTTCAAATGAACTAGATTGGAGTATATCTGATCAGACCTTCAATGTTTTCCATGCATCTTTAAGAAAAGTTAGAATTAAATGGAAGATTGTACTCTCATTTAATTTGCTATTGAAAATAAAGCAAGCTAGTACATGCATGCTTGAAAGATTGTATTTACATTATTATAACAAAGTACTATCCCTTGTCTAAATAGCAACTAAAGATATCATACATTCATTTTTCATTTCTGATAAATTTAAACCAGAATTAAATTTATTAATGACAATTATAAGTAGCATTTAGAGAAATCTAGTTACCCTATCAATTTGATTATACAGTTCTTAGTGCATTTTATAATGTTATTTTCTTAGTGTAAATAGTATCATGCATATAGGCATTCCTTGTTTAATTGCACATAGCTTTATTGTGCTTTGTAAATAATGAGTGTTTCTTTTTTTTTCCCCTCTTGTTGTTTTGACTGTTTCTGGACCACATCCAGTGGTGGTTAGGGCTTATTCCTTTCTCTATACTCAAAAATTTCTCCTGCCGTGCTTGGAGGACTATATGTGGTTCCAAGGATTGAACCCAAGTCAACCACATATATGGCAAGTGACCTGTACCTGTACTATTGCTCTGGTACACAAATACTGAGTTCTCATAAAGCAAAGCATCAAGCATTAACTTCATATCTCTGTGTCACATTTGTGTAACTCTCACAATACTTTAAACTATTTCATATTAATTTACATGATTAATATCTTTGATGTTACTCTTAAGGCAGTTTAGGGGGCTGTTATTAAATGAGTCCATATATTCCTCAAACTTAATTTACAAATGTCTATATTTGACAGTTCATCTACTAACTATTCCCCATCCCTCTCCTTTTGGGAGAAAAGCCCCTTTTTGATCTGCTTTAAAGTGCCACACTAATCCCTGAGCTTGGCCCCAGGCAGATGTTCCCAGGTCACTTAGGAAGCCTATTGCAATGCATACTTATCGAGGGTCAATATCACCATGGGACAGGGCATTTCTGGCAGATATGCAATGACAGTTTAACCATTGTAATCACACAGGAGAGGTGTAACCCTATATATGGAAAACACATATTTGTTCTGACCAACCACTGTGAGTATGTGAGTGTCCGCATTTATCCCCTGTATACCCAAGCCTACATAAGTGCTGATTGCTTAATAAAGTTGGGACTGCTTGACAGGGCACCCGCTGTGCTCTAGTGCTCATTTCCCTGTTGTGGAGGTGGTGGCTTAGGGACATGATCTTTGCCCCAGATTTCTCTCTCTTAACAGGGAGGGTAGCTTGGCTTAGTCCTCAGGCCTCTGTGCAACAGCCCCTTGCAAGTTAAGGGGACCTGCTCAAGAGAGGACTGGGGAGAGACCCCAACACTCTTCCTCTTCTCAGACCTCTACTTTCTGGTACACAGTACTATTGAAATCAGGCCAATTAATAACCCAACTATTTCCTTTAAGGAAAGAAAGAGTAGCAAAGCCTCTCATTTTCAATCAAAAGCTAGAAATTATTAAATTTAATGGGAACAGCATGCCAAAAGCTTATAAGCCAAATGCTTTAGGCCTCTTGCCCTAAGCATTTGGCCAAGTCATGAACACACAAAAAGAAAAGCTCTTGAAGAAAATTAAAAGTGATACTTTTGTGAACACATAAAAGATAAGGAAGCAAAACGGTCTTGTTGCTGACAAAGAAAAACTGTGAGGGATCTGGTGAGATCACACCAAATACAGCATCCCCTTAAATCAAAGCAAGGTCCTGTTCTCACAATTCTATGAAGGCCGAATACAGTGAGAAAGCAGCAGCTGACAAGTATGAAGGCCGCAGAGGTTTAGCTCACAGTGTTCAAGAAAAGAAGACATCTCCATAGCATAAAAGGCAGAGTGAAACATGAGTGCTGATGGAGAGAGGGCAGTTGGTTATCCAGAAAAGTAAACTTAGGGAGTTCAGATGCAGGTGATACAGGAAGTAACCAATTTTCATGCCTCCCAAAGCACCTTGTATAGCAAGAAGCCAGCCTTCAGTGTTCCAGAGAAGTGCCTGGTTTCATTTTTTTAAAGGACAGAATGATCTCTTTCGTGAGGGGATAATGCAAGTGGATGACTTTTAAGTGGATGTCATTGCTCATTTGTTATTGGGGAAATCCTGGGTCCCTGAAGGACTGTCTGAGCCCACTCGACTGTGACAGTGCTCTGTAAATGAAACAACAAAGCCTGAATGAGAGCACATGTGTTTCCATCACGGTTTACCGAATACTATAAGCCTCTTCTGAGAACTACAGCTTTCAAAGGATTGCTGCTATTCACCAGATGAGTGGCTGAGAGACCTAAGAGCTTGCATGGAGAAGTAGCAAGGATTCATGCTTGTTTTCATTCCTGCCATTTCAACATCAACATCTTCTGTCCATAGACCAGGGTCATCTTGACTTCGCGGTTTTATTAAGAAACATATTTCACAAGGCTACAGCTGCCACCAATGGTGAGGACGTTGATGAATCTGAGAAAAGTTCAATAAAAACTTTCTAGTAAGAAACTTTCTTCCAGATAGAGTTTATGAAATATAAGTTTCAGTACAAGTTTGAAAGAGAATGATTCCAACCCATAGTGAAGGCTTTAGGGTTCTAAGCCTTCAGAAAGGAAGAAAGTTCAGATGTGGAGAAAATAGCTTGATTTAAATGGGGATCCTGCTGGAATGCTGAGTTGCTAGGAGAAAATTGGGCTGATGACACATTGCTTCTTAAGGTTCAGCTTGAGGTAGAATCTACTCCTGATAAAAAGGATGCAAACATTGCTGAAGTGACAGCACAGGAGAAGAACGCTGGGCAAACTGTGACTCCCAAGTAAGGCAGTGACTCTGATTCTGTAAGAAGTGGTTAAAATGCTGTTAAACATCGCAGGCTACAGGGAAATCGGTCGCTGAAAGGAAGAGTCCGCTCAAGTGGCAAACTTCATTGTTGTCTCATAAAACAAACAAACAAACAAACAAAAAACCACTGCCTCCTCCTTACACTTTAAGATACCCACTACACTGATCAGTCACCATCAGCAAAAGCAACACGGACCCTCAGCCAGCAAAAGGATAACTGGCTCAGACACTTGGGTAACAAATGCTCTCTGCTATGGCCTCAGGCTTAATGAGGTCTGGACTTGTTTCTGCCTTGGCATGACAGCATCTACCCACTTACTTCTGATCTTTGTTGCCAAAGACATCTGCAAAAATGCAAAACAAGATTTAAAAGATAACTCCACTCTTTGCCCTTAAAACACTTATCAGCCTGGTGATTTTTCTTCTTTTCTCAGTCTAGTTCTCTCTTTTCTCTAACTTAACATAATTTAGCAACTGCAAGTTGTAACATAAGGGTTTGAAATAAGTAAGAAGAGGGTAAGGAGGTGGATGCTGTAAAAATGAAGAAACTGTCAGAATATTTCTTCTTCAGAGGGGGAAAAAAAAACTCCCCTGAGATTCTTCCAAACAGAAGTCTTCACAGACTAGATCTGTTACCTAGTTTCTTCCCAGACAGGACTTGCATTTTACTTTGATGTGTTTGGGGAGAGAGGGTAAGAGTGAAGGGGGGGGTGGGAGCAAGGTAATCAATATAATTGACCTCTAAAGACCTTATCCACTCAAAACCTGTTTGGAAATTGGAGGCAGGGGGAGAGAAGGAACTCAGAACTCCAAATTCAGAATTCTCCCACCAGGGGGGACAAATATATATATATATATATATATATATATATATATATATATGCCCTCCATTTCACACTATTTCTGGGATGACCTAGTTCTGCCAGCAGAGAAGGCAGCGCTAGGGTGTGCCAGTGTAAGCAAAGCGAAGGTGCTATTCCCTTGGCATGAAACATCACGTCCGCCAGATCAGTGCCCCCACCTGACCTCAAATCATCTCATCATTCGGGGGACAGCGGGGGCGGGGGAAACTCTCCATCTCTGCCCTTGACTCCAACTCATCTACCCAAAAAAGCTGCGGCAGGGTCAGGGCAGAGAGACTTGATAAAGTGTCCCCGGGCATCTGCTACTGCTTTTCAGCTGCAAGGAAGGGCTGATCGGGCTGGCCCAGGCGCGATGCCGGCTGTGGATTCTCGGACACAGTTGGCCGACTCGAAGCACATTAAATATACAGCACCCACAGTTTTGCTCCCGAGTCGGTGACCCTGGGCCAAGACGTGTCGCCCGCAGCCCCGCCGGGGATCTGCTTCCCGTGAAACCCGCCGGGGCGCCGTCACACCTGTTAGGTGTCGCCCCACTCCGCGCCTCCGACCCAGCCAACGCGCGGGGCGCCGCCGCGGGGACCCGGGGTGCGGAGCTGGGCCAGGAGATCGGCAAGACCGGTGGGGGGGGGGGGGTGCCCGGCCTGCTCCCGCCCGGCCCCGCGGGATTCGAGGAGGTGGGGAGGCTGCAGAGGCGGGCGAGGTCGAGAGGGGGCATGGGCAGGGCCGGGAACAGAAGGGGCGTCGCCGCTCCAGTCCCGCTGCCCGAGCCCGCGGCAGCAGCAGGGGCGGCCCGGCCGAGCGGCGGCGGCGGCGGCGGAGGCGATGGGGCTCGCCCGGGCCCGGGTCTGTCTCCTCCTCCTCCTCTTCCTCCTCCTTCTCCTCCTCCTCCTCCTCCTCCCCGCAGCTCGGGCGCCACCGCCCCCGGCCGGGCCGCGGCGCCACTTAGGCCGCGCGGGGCGAACGTAGGCGCCGGCCGGCGGCCCCTCGCCGGGGAGCGGAGCGGAGAACGCGGTGGGGTCCCGACGAGGGGGCTCGGCCGGCCCGGCGGCCCGCAGTTCCCGCCCGCGCGGGGCGGCCACCCGGACGGAGCTGCCCGCACGCCCCCTGGGGGCCGCTCGGCTCCGAGAAGCGACGCTGGGCTCGGCCGCTCAGCCCCGCACTCGGGCGCATCATCAGGCAGCAGCGGCGGCGGCGGCGGCGACGCGGCTCGGCGCGCCCGGGGGGTCCCCGCGTCGGCGGAGCCCATGGAGAGGCGCGAAGGGGCGTCTCGGCGTCCCGCGGCCCCCCGCGAACGCAGAGGGGAGCCGGCCCCCGGCCAGCCCGGCGAGCCGCTGTCCACTGCTGAAGCTCCCGCCGCCGCGGCCGCCGCCGCGCTGCCCGCCTGGATGCGCCTCTACTTCTACGGCATGCACGGCATCACCCTGGACGTGCTGGTGTCCTCGCTGCGGCGCTTCGCGCGCAGCCCCGACCTCCGGATGCTGGGCTTCTCCTCGCCCTACCGCTGCCTCCTGCACTCGCTCACCCACTTCGCGCTGGAGAAAGTCTACCTGCAGGGACGCCTCTGCCCCAGCGCCTTCGTCTTCAATTTCCTGCTGTACCCCTCGGCTCACGTGGGGCTGCAGACCCTGGCGAGCCAGGCGCTGCTGCTCGGCGTGGGGGGCCGGCCCGGGGGCGCGGGGGCGCTCGACCTGGCGCTGCAATATGTGCTGGCGCTCTACCACGGCCAAGTGTTCCTGAAGCGCTTCCTGTGCTTGCAGTACCAGGGGCGGCAGCCGCAGCCGCAGCCGCAGTCGCAGCAGCCAAGGAGGCGGCGAGGTTCGTCCCCGGCGGTTCTTCCCTCCGGAGTCCAGGCTCCTGCGGCGGCGGTGACTGGGGACCGGCAGCAGGGACCAGTCAGCCGCCTAGACGCGGGGGTGGGACCCCCCAGCCAGGGGTTGCCAGATGTGCTGCGCTTCCTCTTCTTCGGCATGCATGGCTTTCTGGATGAGATCTTCTTCACCTTCTTCTTTAACGTGCTAGGGCAGGGGGATGGGGCATCCAGTGGGCACACCTCGCTCTGGTCCTTCCTCATGTACGGCAGCTGCAGTTTCGTGGTCGAGAAGCTCTACTTCCACCTCCACTACAGTCGAGGCTGGGGGACCTGGAAGCGGTTGCCCATCTACGTGATCTTCATCTACACCTGGGAGTTTTCCTGGGGTCTGGGACTCCGAACTTGCGGTGCTTGCTCCTGGGACTATTCGCACTACCCGCTCAACTTCATGGGTCTCATCACGCTGATGTATCTCCCTGGCTGGATATTCCTGAGTGTCTACCAGGATCTACTTTCCAACGTGCTATGGAGGGTTCAGTACGTGCCAACCAACTAAGACCAAAACCAAAAAGCGTCCTGGATTCCCACGAATGCATAAGATATTATTTTTACACCTTTTCAGCGGAGTGGGTTTTTGAACCTTTGAATTTTTTTATACCTTTTACTAAACTCTTTCAACTTGTTTTAGTCGACAGTTTAGGACGTTTTCTTTCTATGAGGAAACTATGCATAATACGATACTTTGAAAATATTGCTGGGAACATTACTCAGAGTATTTGATTGTCAATACGTTCAATCCCTTACAAGCCCAAACAGCAAAACCATTATACCTTAACATCAGAAAGCTGTAGTATTTGTTTATTTGGGTGTAACTGGGCAGTAGGTACTAATCTTTTTTTTTTCTTCTTCTTTTTAAATACTTTCCATCTTGTTTCTTTTTTTAAATAAGAGCATTCTTTAATTCAGAGACCTGTGGTACTTTTTACAAGATTCGAGGAAATTTTCTGATTTTCTGTCTTTCGTTCTTTTAAATGTCACTTTATTCTGATTTCTTGACATATTTACCAGGGACTGCTCAAACCCAGTGTCTTGTACTCTTAAAACTACAGTTAATAGCTCTTAAAGTGCCTCTGTCTAGCATACAAGTGAAAAGAAACTGAAAAATGTGAAAATACATCCTATGAATAGATTTTTTTTAAAATAAGAATCTTTTCTAGCATCTCAGACAGGTGACACTGTGTTAAGCATCCTGCAAATACTTGTTTTCCAATGGGGTTAGCCTTAAATGCCAAGAGTATTAGCATTGATCAGAGTTTTGTGTTCTATATGACTGTAAACTTTTTGTTACTGTGCAATAATATGAAATGTTTACCAGATGTGTACAAGGGCCAAGCAAAATTACTCCATCTTCAATAGTGTTCTATCCCTAAGGACCCTTTCTATGTGGAGCTTCAAGAGTCAAAACAGTTTCTTGGAATAAAATGAAACTGAAACTTCACACTAATTGCATTAAACCTAGTAGTTTACTGTGAATACATAAATGTCTTTCAGCTTACTTCTGCCATGCCTCACTTGTAGACATTTTTCTGTTTGTTTATGCCTCCACGGAGTCTTGGGCTAAATCTTAAGCAGTACTGTTCATTGAGAAGCAATGATAGCTTTTTTGATGACTCATTAGTAATGTTTGGAAGCTCCAAATTTAAATGAGATGATGTAAACCATTTTAAGAAATTATGTCTAATCAATTAATAATGTACTGAAGATTGCTGTTTTTAATCTACTTCGGAAAGACAAGTCTAGTTGATTATGACTCAGCCAAGGATGATTAATACCTTCTTGAGTTTTCAATACAAAAATAATTAGAAAAACTTATAGTGTGTGCAAATGAATAGTTCCCTATTCAAATTATTAGCTTCCCTGTGTTATGGAAAAAGGACTTTCTGTTTTCAGAAGATGTTTACTCTGTCAGTAAAAGCAAACATTAGACTTAAGTCAGGCATAATTCTAAGAATATGCTATTTTTTAATTCACTAAGTTGTAACTGAATTGAGTAATGCTTTCCAATCAGTGTTACTGGTAAATGGTTAATGTCAAGTGAATTATTTTAGCCAAAGCTGAGAAGAGACCTGCAACTAAAGTGTTTACAAAAAATTCACCTGAGTATTACTTCATGACACTTTGTCATGTGCAAAATATTTTAGAAACCCAAAAGTGGGTGAAAAATTTAAAAAGGAAAACTAGACTCTAAAGTGAGTGAGATACTAGGAAAAAAATCTTTGAAGGTGTGGGAGAGGTATAGCCCATAATGTGCTTGCCTTGCATGTAGCTCAATTGGTTAACACCTTCAGGAGTGATCCCCAAGCCCACAGCTAGGTGTAAGCCCTAAGCATCACAGGTGTGACCTCCAAATCATACACACACATACGCACATACACACACTTATAAAACAAAAAGGTCAATGCCAATAAATCTAACACTCCATACCACATGTACCTATGACACAGAACAAAGTCCATGACTTCTGAAATATGCGAAATGCTCATCATAGTTGTATTTTTGTCCTTCACATCTTATTCTTCCTCCCTGCTTACCTACTTAGCAACATTCTCAGGGCTGGATATCTGTCAGGAAGTAGGAAAGGCTACTGGGTTTCTTTTTTATTATTATTTGTTTTGTTTTCAGTGTTGATCCTAAGTAAAGGTCAAGGTTTTCATTCATGCAATTCATTCAAGAAATGGTTATTGAACATTCATAGTTTGGTAGGCAGTTGCCTAAACTCGGCAGATAGAGAAGCAGTGACCCATACAGACTAAATATCTGTCCTTATAAACTTGCCTTGTCTGATTTATTTATTTTTTTAAAATGTATGTAGAGTCTACTATTTACATGGGTGGGGCAATTGTTGTTAGGACTTTGCTCAAGTCTGTCCTTGGAATACCAATCCATTATCTCTAAAACAAAAGTCCATTTACCAGTCCCTCCACTAGTTCTACAAAAAGCTTGTTCAGATCAGCTTAGGAAGTGATTATTCTCAATAACTATCTTTGGGGCTTCTCATCCTGTTTATGACATTTTCCAAGTAATATTTTGCTACAAATTTGAATCTTTAAAGAACAAGAAAGGAAAGAAAAAGGCCATTGAATCTATCCTTAGTACTCAGTAGTTCACATATAAAAATGATAAGCAATATAATAGCCAATAAATAAGTAGCTATAACTATAAATAGTAATAATATTAAAAACTCTATTTTATATATACATATACACATATATACAAGTATATATAACCATAAATGCATGCCTATACCCATCTATATCTTAAGTTGAAATGGATATATAATCATAAGCAAATATATGACCACATGTTTCTGTACTTTATCATATATATGTATGTATACGTATATATGTATATATACAGACACATATTTACTTAAACTTTTAACCACCTTCCTTTCACAGATGATGACAATGAAATGGAAGCCCAAAGAAATTAAAAGCCCAAGTGATGTTGAACATTTAAAAACTTGAATCAAGTAAGCTAGACCCCAAGGACTGTTTTTAACAGTAGCACTTTTGTGCCTCTGTCACTGACCACAGTAGTTTACCATTTCTTATAGATTTTGTGTTATAATCCTCAGTGCAGTTTCCTTTCTGTCTCTATCACAGATGCAAACATATCTGTCTAGCAGCAACAATCACTCTTTCATGTTGCCTTTTATTCCATGGAATATAACAAGGGAGCTAGTGCCAGAATGCACAACTGACAATCAGCCTAGTTCGAGGGCTCAGATAATTGTTTTTAAATGCAAGTGGTGCTCTGGAATACAGTTCATCATTTGAAGTCAAAGCATATTAATTATAAAAGTGATATACCAAACTATATCACAAACTAGGAAAAAACAATTTTATTACTTTTCATTTAAAGTAATATTCAGACAACTGTAATATACATTAAATTTATGTTATCTAAGAAAATATAAGTCTTCAGAAAAATTAAAATGAAGTTTATTATTTTGGGTTTTATTAAACTCTTTAGACTCTAAAAATTTATTTTAAAAGATAGAAAGATTAACAGATATGGGTTTTGCTTTGTTTAGTTTTCATAACACTAAAATTTCTCATTGAAGTGTGTTTATTTTTAACTCAGTTCTATTTAGCTTCTGAATCTAAAGAGGAATACTGTCTTTAAGTTTTTCATGTTAACAGAGATTGCAAAAGTCTATTTTATACAAAGACTTCTATAGAATTTTTATTCCATTTCAATATTTTAAACTTTTCATGACTCTATATTTAACAATGAAAGAAATTTAGTAAATATTTGACACTTCATGTTTCAACCCAGAAAAACACACCTTAAATAAACAATTATCTGTACTTTGTTGTTTTTTTAAAAAAGTATAGCTGCTTTATGTTACCCGCCTGAGAAAAGGAAAAGAATTTCTACTGTTTCTTAATGGTCTCTGTTAGCATAATGGCACTTGCTCTGTTTTAGAAGGAATAAAGAATTTTGATAAATATCTTTGGATCTTTTTCTACTTCCAAATACATTTTAAAAAATCGATAGACTTGCCAAGGAAGTTATACTCATGGCACAGACTTGCAGTGATAAATAAGTCATTGTCTTCTGATATATGAAAACATTTTAGTAAAATCGATTTTTGCTTATATTAAAAGGCACAAACTCTTTAGCTTTTTAATTAATCTTAAATATGTTACCTCCACTCTATTTTCCAAATGTGCTTAATGGAATAATGTACTTTTACCGAGGTAAAACAAAAGGCAACACCCTGTAACTCTTTCCAATTTCTCATACCTTAGTTGAGACGAAGGAGAAAATGTGAGTTAAAAATGGTTCTGTTGTATCTCCAGTGCTTTTATGTTTTTGTATTTGTCTTTTTCCCAGTACTAGTCTTGGGACTCAACTAACAAAAACAATAATGGTGTTTGTGTATCTCTCCTACTAGAATTGTATTTGTTTCCATTTTTAACATTGACGCATGAGCCAGCACAGAGCCAATAGCCTCCAGTCACTAACAGATTAGTTTGTAAATAAATCTGTAATGTACATAAAGAGAATTTCCTAAGAGATTCTTCTTTCTCACAATATAAAGACAATATAAAGCCTTTTCTCTTAATTTTTAAATTACCTTTGCAGAAGTGATAAATTATCAGACCCTGTGAGAGACTTTTCTTGGACAGGTACAAAGTTTTCATTTTCATCTTAACCCATAACTATTCTTTCAGAAGACAAAAGTAACATGCATTAACTTTCCCATTCAGAAAAACATACAGCTTTACCATGATTAAGGATAATTGAGTGTTGAAAAAAATTATGACGTTTAATCGCAGCTAGTTTTTAATTCCAGGAAGAATTTCTAAATTCCTGACAGCCAATTTCTCTATTCAGTCTTTATTATACAAGACATTAATATTGTTTTTTCATAAAAAATTAATAAATGAAAAACTCAGCAATTGAGCTAATAAACCTACTGTCTTTCAGTGAAATAAAACAGGTTTTCCAAAGCTTTCAGGTGCCAATTCTATTGCAATGAAATTTTTGTCCTATTTTTTTGAGATTAAACCTAGTTTCATAGAGTGGCTATTTCTGCTCAGTTTTGGGAAATCACTCTTGGAAATACTCAGGAGACCATGTGGTTCTAGGGATGGAACACAGGATATCTACATACAGATACATAGCTCCAGCATATTGAATTGCTTCTTGAGACCAACAATAAAATATTTTCTAAAGAAAGTCTCTATTTTCAAAAAAGCAGTTTTTCATTCTTTTGCTGATACTGCATCTTTCAAATTATGCATCCTGCACTGAGTCTTAAGTATCAGGGTTTTTAGAACTTTGTGGCTAATTAAAAGGATTCCAGAAAATAAAACAACACATAAAGTATGCAGTAAATAGTTGCAACTCTGTTTCAATCACTGTAATATCTACTAGTTCAACTCAAGAAAATATTGGGAAAATATTGGGAAAATGCAGGCAAAGCAAAAAAATAATTGAGAGACCATGGTTACTACAAAATCAAGAGGGTAGCCAGAAATAATAGAACATTTTATTTATCCAGTTAAATGTATTTATCTTAAAGTACTGTTTCTCAGGGTAATATTAAAGAGAGAATCATCCCACTCTTAATGATATTATGAAAAACATTGATATTATATACAATAAATTTTATTTATTGATATCTATTACAAAAATTAACATACTCTAAGAATCTCAGAATTAAAACTTTAGATGAAAAACAATTTTTAGGGAAATATGATATTGAGTGTTATATGTATAAAGTTTACATCAATAGTATTTTGATTACTCACTTATATTTAGAAGCAAAACTTGAAACGAATGTGGTTTTAGTGCATTTCTTAAGGGAAGCCAACTTGGTCTGAATCTTTTATTAAAAATAATACAAAGACACAAGAAAAATAAATAAAAGAATTCCCTGGAGTACATGAAAAAAAAAATAGCACTAGCTTTTAAATACTTAAAAATAGAGCAAATCTTGAACAATATTTACTATTAGACATATTCACAATGATGACATTTTTAGCAAAAATAAAATAGAAACAAAGGGATAATAAATGGAAGATATAATATAAGGATAGTGTTTAATAGGTCTAAAGGGACATGTGCTATTTTTCTATTTATAAAAGAGTTATAAAAAAGTAATGAACGTTTTCTAAGGTCTCACAGAGTAAAGACTTAACTTTATCCTCCAAAAGTTAATTAAATAGCACATCTTATATTCGGCTGAGTACCAAAAATATCAACTTTACTGTATTCTTATTTATTCAATGAAATTTCAGAGATTAATTTTTGTAAAATAATGTTATTTTGCTGCCGTAGAAGTTTTAATTACGTGCCATGGAAAAGTCTACATAATGCAAAGGAAAACAGTCCACAATTCGTTAAAATATAAATTTATAAAACTTTAGAGGTTGAGAAGATAACTATAGATTAAATAGTTCAATACAAGGCCAATAAAATAATTTTCTCTGAGCCAGAAGTTACCAACCTTATTTCTCTGTTCTACCACCCACCTTTTTAGAAACAAAATTACTTATCCTCTTACTTATTTGCTTAGCCTCTTGTCCTTATTAAGGACACAAACAGAAAATACTCCCAATTGCAACCAAGGTTTACTGCCACCACTGAGGCTCTTTCCAGTGTGCCTAGAGAAGCAGTACC